ATGGTGGGGTGACGGAAGATGTAGAGGAAAAGCCATAGGTGATAGCCGACCATTATTATCAGGCCTAGAGGGACGAGAATGTAATCCATCTCTGGCCTCGCCATGAGAATCCAACGAGAGCTGCAGAAGAGATCAGAGAGATGTTTAGGAGGAGGAAGGGGATCGAATATAGTTTGTTGGAGCGATTAATGGATTGAATATCTCTAGATTTTTTAAATTTAATCATGACATTGATATGAGGCTCACATAAATCAAATATGAAATGTTAGTTTAAAAAAAAAAAATTCAATTTTTAATTGAAAAAATATTAAATTATCCCGTGAGTTCAAGGCGAGGCTTTGTGGATCACGTGAACAGAAACAGTATGGAGTAAAGTAGGTTGGAATTAGTACTGCCTTTCTGAGTTACGAGGAAAAAGGGGGCATTTACATACATTCCAGCTAATTTAGATTGACTAATTTCGAAATTTAGCGTCCATTAATGATTGAATACAATCAATAAATAATTTACAAGAATTAGTTGGGTCTATTGAAAATAAAACTAAGCCTCTTCGTTGACTTCGCAACATATATCGCTCCACACATCGAACGGCACAGGCCGACATTAAAATTTATCACGTGCACCCGCATGACTAACGGTGAAGTTGTCAATTCATCATTTGTGCCACGTGTAAGATGCTGTTTGCTGTTTTCTAAGAACAGCCGATCACATTTTATGATCGAAATGAACCAGCATTTCATTTTCATTTTATTTGCATTTCCAGGAGACGCACCACGCCTATAAATGCCGGGATTCTTCCATCAACGAGCTTGTTTGGCCTCACGGGCTTGCAGGGTGGAATTCAGGCCAGAGAAAGCCGGAGCGTGCTCGATGAGGGGTTGAAAGATCCCTTTCTTTCCCTAAATTTTTTCTCTTATTTGGAATTTGGCTCCTTTATTCGGTCCCGTGGCTCTCCATCGGCTGCTGAACGTCGGGTAATTTCCTCGTCTTCCGTTTTCTCTTTCTGGTCTAGGGTTTCATGCAAATTAAAGCAGTTCGTGTTTGCTTTGCTATATGAAATTGTTTATCTTCAGTTTCTGATCCGTTATTTGGACCTGATTCGCCTTACCTTGTTTTTGCTGCGGCAAAATTTAGTAGATTGAGGTTCTTGGTATATATTCCCACTCTGTACTGCAATTTTGAGGTTACTTGATTTCGTCTAATAGTTACTGTTTTGCGAGATATTATTGCAGTTTTGATTTCCTGCTGTTTATAATCCATTCTTATCTCCCCTCTTGATCCTCAAATCTCACTTTCCTTGGATCCTTTAGTGGATTTTCTGTTCATGTTCGTATTTTGCTCTTGCCGTTTTTATGCACTGATATTCAACCAATCATTTTCATTTTTTTTAGTTGTGTTGAAAACGTTGTGCCAGGCAACCTTCTTTCATGCTTATCATGTTCTTTCTCCAACTGCAGCATTGAGGGCTTGATCCAATAGCACACATTACAGAAGTCTCAAATATCAATCCAGGCTGAAGCTATGGAGGTATATGGCAAATCCATGATTGCTGAGCCAAGCAATGTGATTTTTTTGTCCAGTATTGTCAACCGAGAGGGTACAATTCCCAGTCACAAATGTGACTGGAGATGCCAAAATGAACACTTGTTTGGAAATATGTATCGCTGCAAACTGACTGGAATTACCCATATTTGTGATAGAAATTGTAACCAGAGGATTCTATATGATAACCATAGTTCACTCTGCAGAGTTAGTCGGCAGCTTTTCCCTCTTTCACCAGCTGAGGAGCAGGCCGTGAGAGGTGTTCGGAGGAAGCTCGAAGTCGAGAACTCTGATGGCTGCATTTTTAAGCGAAAACGTGACGCCCCGCTGCATCCTTCTTCTTTCGAGAGATCCTTTTGTTCGGTTAACCCAATCTGCAGTCAAGTTGGAGATGGAATGGACATGAGTTAGTTCTCATGTTTCTATCTCCACTTCTTTCTTTATTTTCATTTTCATCTTCATCCTCTGCTTCTCCTCTTTGATGAGGAAGAACCCAGTACCATCATTCAAAAATTTAGTGAGTCTGATAGAGAAATTGGGTTATGTTCCTCCAATATGCTGTAGGAGTTCTTAAAAACTTTTCCTTTAAAGCACTTTTATTTGAAATGGAATGATGTAACTTCTTAATATGTGACAAACTTATGTTACCATTTCATGAACAATACTAGATTTGGCTTTCTTTTGCTTCAAACATTCACTTTTTATTATTTTAATTTTATAATTGCACTCGAAATTATTTTGTAATATTATATTTACTTCTGACCTTTACTGTCCTTATATACTTTCTTAACCTTAGTTGAAATGACATTACACAACTTTGCAGGTTGGTACTTGACAAGATCATTATCTGATATTTGGAACTATCAATGATATTTTTCTCATGGCAGGGTTGATTATGAATTACTTGTTTCATATTTATTTGCTCCCTTTGATAACTTGTTCTGAACTTGAATGTTATTTTGCAGGATTTTTTCAGGGATGGCATATAAGGAGAGAACTAACAATTGTTTAGCACTTTATTATAATGCAGTGCTAATGATATATTATTTTGCATTTTATAGGAAAGGAGCAAAATTTATCATAGATTACAAAATTTCTGCATGAAGCTGAAAAGAGCTTTGCGGCTGCATTGGAGGACATATTCAAGGAGTCATTCTCAAGTGGGGGTGAGAGACAAAAAACTTCATTCTGTTACCATTTTGATGGTTCTAATGCACTTCTGAAGCAGCTGGAAGTGGCCATCAAGCATCTCTGATGGAGCTGCAAAACATTGAACTCCTCATTTTCTCTGAAGGATGTTTTTGGAATGCTTTTTTCTTATTATTTTTTTTATAAATTGTCGTCAAAATTTTCTTATGGCATTGGTGTCTTTACTGTACATAATATGTGATTGTAGTTTCTGATTTTGTCACACCCAAAAAGATTGTAAATGATAATTTGAAGTTATTTTCTTAGGAGCAATAAATATTAAGAGCGTGTAATATTTTTTTTTCTTCTTTTAACCATTATTGAGCCATTGACTTGTAGCTGATTTGTGCAGCTGAAATTGAATTTTTATTCGATCAATTATGTTCGCCAGTGCTTCTATAAAGAGCATAGTATTTATTTGGTTTGGAGGCTGTTCTTATTTTAGAGGTGCAATTACCTTCTCTCAGGATTGCTCTAGCAAACAAAATCACCACAAAAGAGAGCGTCAAACTTTGACTCGAAGAATTGGAAAGTCTCGAAGAAAAGTAACTGTCTGTGCAGTAAAACGTGGAACTCCATCAGGCCAGGATGATGCAGTCCCATGATAAATTTGTCCGTCCAAGGGCGTTCAAAGTTGGTGGTGGTCTAGTTCTCGTTCTCAGGAGACCCATTCTTGCACAACTCAAGATTGGATGTAGTTGGTTTTGTCTGGTGGCCAATTCATGTTGACTATTTACTTAATCTTCACCTATTTAAATCCTTTTATTTGTAAAATTATCATTTAAATCTACAAATTCAAAATTAATTTATTTTGTTTCTATTAAATTATTAGTGATTGGTTGGTGCAAGTACATGAATTTATTAATTTATTCGTGAACATGTTGTTGATAGTTAATTTTATAAATTTATTAGAGATTTGTGGAATTGAATGCCTTGAAGTGGGAAATTTAAAGATGCCAAAATTAAATTTCTAAAAATATTAATTGAAGTATGAAATGATTTTTTTTGGGCCTTTACATGCATATTACCCAAAACTTCTATTTTTACTTATCTTACACCTAAATTTTCATAATTAAAAACATCATATGAAATTAACACTTATTATGACTTTTTAATAGTTAAATGCTTTTGATATGTATGTCAAGTTTAATTAGGTTTTTTTAATTAAATAATAATAATAATATAAATCATTCGGTTTCAACTGCTTTTAACAAATTATAATATGTGGAATGATGGTAGGTATTGGGGTTAGCAGTGGCAAGCAAGAAAGCTTCACAGGGGTTATAAGTAAAAATGTCATTAATGAAATTTTATGGCTATAACTATGAAATAAAATAATTTGTTGGCCAACCACAGTAGACTTTGTTGGCGATATTGAAATTAGATGGTTATATAATTTGTAAAAAAAAAAAAGATTTTGAATAAGTTGATGTTGACTCGATTGAAATTGCTCACATATAAAATGTAAATATTTGTTGTGTTCATAAATTCGAGGCGTTATAGTGATATATTAATGTCTTAATGTTGTACGAAGATCCAACAGACACACAACTAATAAGAACTCGGCAGAAAAAAAGGAAGAAATTTTTATATGAAAAACTTAAAATGATAAAAATTCTGAGGCCCGACTCAATTGAAAAGATTTCAATATGTTGATGTAGGTTACAAAATTTTATAGGCCATTGACTAGCAAGAAATAATATTGCACAAGCGGTATGTGACTTTCCCGGAAGAAAAGCAGACAGTATGGGTCAAATGCTAGAACATCAACTCTCAGTGTATTCGTTCGTGGCGACAGGACGGCGGTGGTCGAGAAGTGGCAATAGTGGTATGATGGTTTGTTGAAGCAAAAGTGTACTTTCTTTATTCAATATTCCTCTCTCTCTCTCTCTCTCTCTCTCTACACACACACACACACACACACACACACGTATACATATTGATATTTTTGAATAGGAAAAAAAAATTGACATATTTTCTACTTTTTGTTCCTCTCTGAACCCTCCTTAGAGGCAGTCCTTATAATAAAATTTTTAACTAATGATAATAAAATGTGCTACTTTAAAAATATTTATTTGCATCATATCAAAAGCACAATAAAATTATTATCTATGTGCCATGCTACCGACTAAACATCAATGATTTCGTAGTTATCATTCCTTCAATGTCTTATTACTAACCGTTTTTGGCACCAAGTAAGATTATTGTTTGTCATTGATAGGGATTCCTTTGTTATATTCTAATGACTAGCTAAAATTTAAAAAATATATAATTTCACATGCTACATCAATAATTTGGTAGTTATCATTCCTTCAATGTCTTATTACTAACCGTTTTTGGCACCAAGTAAGATTATTGTTTGTCATTGATAGGGATTCCTTTGTATATTCTAATGACTAGCTAAAATTTAAAAAATATATAATTTCATTTTTAACTACTATTAAATAATCATAAAAACTAAAAATGGATGTGTGTAAAATAGTAAGAATTAAAAAAAAAAATCGCAAGGCAAAAAGACCAAATTCATTTACAGTTTTACATCTTCATTAGGCAAACATCCTTGAGAATTTTACTAAAACCTTCTCAAGCAATTCATAATGAATAATTGAGTTTGATTAATTATTCGAGTTTAAGCTTAAGTCTGAACTTAATTCTACGAATTGGAATTAGCTCACACGAGTGCTTATTTATTATTAAAGGGTGAAAATTTTTATGATTTGAATAACTTCTGTGAATGACAACAAAAACGAATATTTAGAAGAGAGACAATACTAAATTATTAACATAAAATAGTAAAGTTTAATTTTAGTTAATTTTAATAATTTTTACTTAAAATTTTAAATTTTAATTCATTTTAAGTGCATTTTAAATTAAGATTTTTTTCTTAAAGAGCCTGCTCATGAGCTAGGCAAGCATAAATTTGATTTGTTAGCTCATCAAGTTCAGCTTATGAGCCATTTTTCTAGCTCAGCTTGAGCTAGCTTGACACTTACACCTCTAAAAGGATGAAATGAATGCATATATTATATCATTGGGTTTTTAGCATAATTAAATTTTACTTTTTTAAATATTTTATTAATTTAAAGAAAAACACAAGTAAAGGAGACAAGATCAAATGTACATTTAATTTCATATGGAGAATTAGTAAATATTTAATTTTTAAGAGAATTATTGTATATCAAGAATCGTGAATTTTTGTCTAGATGAAGAGGCCCGTTCCGCCACACGACTTTTGAAGCAGCTCCACCGTATGAAGCCTAAATGTCAACATGACAAGGCAAAAAAAAAAGTTTCCAAAAGCAATAGACATATGTCAACTCTGTGATTAATCTCCTACTTCCCTATTTATCTCAACGTACACATGACACCTCTATAATTTGATGGCTAAAATAAGAAGTTCACGCTCGTTTATGTCTTAATATTCATATTAGTCATCTCAATATGATCACGACATGTTCATCATTGTCCCCAACTTAAAAAAAAAAACCAACTTAAAAAAAAAAAAAAAAAGTTCATATGAAGTGCCCTCATGAGGCTTACGGTTTATGTGATCTTCCTTTGAATCTTTTTTATTCAATAATGTCTCAAAATAGAAGACATAATTTGACTAATTTCACCTTATCTGTCTTCTTTCTTTTGTTTAGGGTTATGACCTCTATAAAAATTATAATTTTAGTTGATGATAATTAAAATGTGCCGCTTTAAATAAATTTACATGCATCATTTGAAAATCATAGTAAAATCATTTTCTTTGTTGTGTGCTACAAACTCATAAGCTTGAAAACTTAATACTAAGGCTCTCTTTGAGGCCACTTTTTACAAGTGGCGAGGCCCCAGACCGTAAACTTTTCTTGTTTGGTTCTCAGCTTCGCGGCCGAAGGAAGTTAAAGCGAGCGGAAAGCCAGCCGCGGAATCGACCCCGCGGCCCAGCTTTCGCTTCCCGCGTTCATGAAGAACGTTCGATAATACCCCCTGCCCTCTTCCACCTTCCGAAAAAGTAAAGAGTAGATCGCAGTATACAGAGCCGAAGCCCCTTCCTTGCCTTCGAAGATGAAGAATGTCGAGGGTTCGTTCACGAAGAACTTGGTTTTGGATGAAACCGGGAGAAGAAAAGGGAGTCGAGAATACGACAAGGAAGAGGAAACGTCTGAAGAAGCTGAGGCTGAGCTTTGTTGAGAAATCAAAGTCAAAAATGAGATTTGTTTGATCTCGATCACAAATGGATTGTATTTTTGGTATCGTTTCTCATTCCCTCAGTTCATTTATGTTATTTATATATTTTTGCTTCAGGATACATATAAGTGCTGAGATGAATGGGTAGTAATTGTTATGTTCTTCCTCTAAATGGAATTATTAATTGATCCACAAGAGCACTTTTTTGAAATATTCTTTCATGTTAGCTAAATTGCTTCCGAAATTTTGAGCTTTGCTTATTATGCTACTGTAATTGAAGCTTAGACAGCAAAATTTTGAAACATGTACTCTTAATCAATGGGAATAGCTGATTATAAGGTGTAAGGGCAGGTAGGAGCATTCGACTTATATTATTCTTTGATGAAATACTAACTTTCTATTATTTTGGCTTTGTGTGATTCCTCACTACTTTGGCCTTCTAATTAATGATGGTAATTCATCATCAAACTTAAGATAGTTGACGCTAAAGATGATTTTATATTTTGCGGCGGCTCTAGGTATCTTTGGTGGATGGTGAATTTGCCCTCCTTGGGTTCTTAAGGAGTTGTTGTCTCATGGTGAACTTGAAATATGCTTACACGGATAGAATAAAATGTTGGGAAATTTATATACGTAGCACACAATTCTTATATATTTACATATCTCATGCTAAACTTTCATCTTTACATGCATAGCCCATTAGTCCCTTAAACCAATGCATGAAAATGTATATTTCAAATTTAAAAAGTGGTAATATTCATAAGAATTAAGTGGAATGTATGTAAATGTTCTTAAAATTTAATGATCTCCTAAGTGGAGGTCATGATTGTCTAGTTCAAAGAATTTCAGAAGGCAACAAGAGTTATACAGGCTTTGTGCTCTGAGGCTAAGGTGTGTCTCTCTCTTATTCATTTCAGGATGGAGAGAATCTATTATTGCATTGCATTTTTTAGTTATATTTATCTTAGTTAGCAGTACATGCATTTGTTCCTCACCGGACTGATTGAGATATTACAACTATAGCCAAATTTATAAATGCTGTTTGACTCTATAGAATTCAGTGACATGTTTGCATATCTTCCTTTGTTTTATTTTTAGATTCCTGCTCTTGTGCTTCATT